GAGGGAGAGAGATGTGTGTGTGTCAAAACGTATTGAACATATCATATATCGGACAACCAACATATATACAACAAAAAACCACTATTTTCATCATTAACACATCATAATGAGCTTAAAACACAATCTGAGTACAATTTGTGCAAACTTAAACATTCAAGTACACATAAAGCTCACAAAAATCAGTGATCACGACTCAAGTTCACAAAAATCAATGAGCTTGAGAACATGAACAATATTACACCAAAAGCTAGTCATCTTAACAGTCTTCTCCGTTGCTTTGCCCTTTGGATCTATTGCCCACTTGCTTTCCACCCATTTTTCTAAGCAAAACATCATCCTTAGATTATTTTTCTGCTTATGGATGTTTGGCCAAATCAAAAATGAAGTGGCAAACCGCGCCGCTACTGGTCTAAGCAGCTCTTTGATTTGATCTCTTGTCAACCTCAAAACCCAACCACGTGAATGAATGAAACCCGTCAACTCCATAGCACTGCTCAAGGACATCTTCATGAATTGTAGTTTTCAGATATCCTTAAGTATGAGGTTGAAAAAATGAGCAGGACACGGTGTCCAATACATATGAGGATATTCATCCATCAAGAATTTACCTATAAGCAATAAACAAATATCTCACTAGGATCAATCATTCAATTTCATAAAAACTACTACCGGCTAGTTTGAGACTAGCATGATTGTCCGTAATTGTTCGCGGGAAAATTCGTTGCTTTCTTCATTAATGATTCCATTGTACACTCTTGTAATAGTTTATCGATTACAAAGATCCGGTCTTTTTATAAGATCCGGTTACAACGAAAATCAAATAAAAATAAACAAAGATTACAACTTTTCTCCTTTTGTGTCGAACGAATCGCGAGCTCCTGTTTTGCGGTCGCTCGCTTTGTGGGTTCTTTGCCTGCGCCGGGGTTGTTTGCCGTGGACCACCGCGAGATCTAGATCCGGTCGGATCTACGCAGTACAACGGATATTATTTCACCAAGGAAATAATAGCCGGGGAGGATTGTTTCACCAAGGAAACAATCGTCCAAGTCTCGGGATCTAAGACCAAGCTTAGATCCGGAGTGTAGCCTGCGTAGATCTGAGATCCGGTCCTCTCGAACACCTGCCTTATTTGACGTTGATGATCGCCGAGCACCAGATCTGGATGAGCAAGTCCTTGATGTCCCAAATCTTGAATCTTGTTAAGTTCTGAGTCTCCAATCCAGCAGGGCTTCACCTCTCCAAATTTTCCAACCCTTTGAAATGAAGAACCCCTTGGCCTATTTATAGGCTCTCGTTACTGTGCCCGTGCCCGTGTGCACGTGTGGCCAGCTCAAGGTGGCCGGCCACCTCAAGGTGGCTCGGCTCATGCCGAGCCACCCTGAGGTGGCTCGGCCACCCCAGGGGGTGGCTCGGCCTTGGCCGAGCCACCCTGGGGTGGCTCGGCCACCGAGCCACCTCAGGGTGGCTCGCCACCCCAAGGTGGCTCGGCCACCGAGCCACCTAGGTGGCTCGGCCGAGCCACCACTTGGTGGCTCGGCCACCGAGCCACCTTGGTGGCTCGGTGAGCCGCCTCGG